CGCACCTTAGTACAAAGACTAAAATATTTTATAATATGGTATGGCTAAATTATCAGATTCATGATAATTGATTTGTTCGGTGAGGAAGAAAGCGACATTGAGCCCATCAATTATGGCCTATTAATAAAAATAGGTTGCTGTATGGCCCTCTTGGGTTTAGCACTTCCGAATAATAATATACTAATAAAGACTCATAAGCTCACGCGGAAACCACAACAATTGTATCTCCAGAACATATGTTGCGTCACAATTGCAAGAGCAATAACTGTTTTATGTTTGATGTAATAATTACAACTTATAGCGAAAGAGTAAGAGTTTAATCAGGATAATACAACTACTACAAAATCAAACGATAATATACTTAAAAAAATCTTATTGCTACTAACTAAAATTAAACAAGAAAAAATAATTGGTATTAAATATATAATCGAATTTCATGAATGAAAATAGTCACTGAAAAAAAAAAAGTAATGAGTTAGCATTTCAACTACGAATAATAGACAACAGATAATGAGAGAGAGAGAGAGAGAGAGAGAGAGAGAGAGAGAGAGAGAGAGAGAGAGAGAGAGAGAGAGAGAGAGAGAGAGAGAGAGAGAAGAGAGAAAGAGAGAGAGAAGAGAAAGAGAGAGAGAGAGAAAAAAAAGAGAGAGAGGAGAGGGAGAGGAAGAGAGAGAGAGGAAGAGATTGGGGAAAGAGGGGGAGGGTAAAATTGTGAAAGGAGGAAAACGCAGAAAAACTAATGAGCGGGAGAGGGGGTTGACGCAAGTAAGTGATTCAGAGAAGTGCTGATGTGAATGAATACGCCAGAGGCGAGCCAAATCAATGTTCAGATCAAGGTTAACTGACACAACGAAGGGACGGCGAACTATGTAAAAAGAGACGTACAAAACTACTGAGGCTCCATCATGAGCCTTGAAAACATACAGACAAGAAATCGTAGTACGGCAGTGTGGTTGATTGCTTGGCTAATTGAGGCTTAAATCCTATTGACCTACAAAGGTCATTAAGGATATATGGCACCTGTTTACCACCAGTCAAATAAACTCTCAGTGCATATACGCTAAATGATATACACCTATCAGTATATATAAGTGAAGATGTACTCGAATAAATTTTTGAAAATCTATGAAACTGAAAATTCTTAGGGAAATCATAGTAAAGAAAGCTAAACTTTGAAGGTAGCTTGTATTGTCAGAGATAATGCTAAAGATAAAAATAACTTAGAGCAATAGGTTAAAATCAAGATGCATATTTTCGTTTTTTTTTAACATATGTGTCGATATATAAGTTTGGTAAAATTTGTATTGTGAAAATGATTCTTTCAAATATATATCCTTTATCCTTCCTGTTTTATGGAAAACTCGGTTTTGCTTGCTGATTGTGAATAACCTGCATTGATCTGGGCTTGAGACGAACGATTTTAATTTCAACATATAAAACAAATGCCAAAAGACGTACAGTTATAAGAAAAAACCTACACAGACTAGAAACAAGTGATACATAAATAATGATTAAAGACATTTAATTACTTTAATTACAAGAGAAAAATGTATACGAACCCAGACTTTGGAAATTTGGTGGCACCCACAGATTATTAGTTCATAATAGACAAATATGGTACCCAGAGAGGTGTAATAAACGATGGTCAATACCATAAACGAAACTACAGACTCGTATATGCAGTACAATAGATTAGTGTTGAAAAGGGCCTAATATGTAGGCCCTTTTCAACATTAAGTAAACAGAGTATAACAGGCTGAAATATGTAGCACTTACTTTGTTTACTATCTTCAATGTGGACTCATTCGTGTTAAGAAATATTATATCAGAAGTTTGTTATGGAGAAATAAATTTTTGAAATTACCAACTGGTAATATAACCAGGTCCTAAGACTAAAATGCTTATGAAGGACCCTTTATTATTATTATTATTATTATTATTATTATTATTATTATTATTATTATTATTATTATTATTATTATTATTATTATTATTATTATATTAAAACAGACGGGTGATATTTTATCGGTCTTTAATTATAAGAAATTTTTATCTTCTGTTGAAGGACTGATTGCTTTAAAATGCTTTAGTAATTTATTATTTCTTTAAAATGCTTTAGTAATTTATTATGATATCAGATTTATCTTCCTTAAAGATTTTAATTTTCCAACAAGCACCTTTCCCATATTAATATAAGTTATAATTTTGCAGAATTATCAAAGTAACCCAAGAAGATTTATATAAGCATAAAGTGATAACTAATTATGACAGCTCTTTCTTGTCATGGGAATAATATTAAAGAAAAGTTATACCCCAAATTACGCTTAATAGCATCAACAAAAGTTCGTATATTGCTATTGTTTACAAATATGAGTTGACAGTCCAGTGATGTATATTGAGAGAGAGAAGCTATTGAAATATGAACATATTAAAAGCGGAATATAATTTGCTAGTACAGTACTTGCAGTTTAATCTATGATAACTTAAAAGATTACAGGAATGTACTTAAAATATGGGCGGTGAATGAAAATAGCATGGAGTTAGGGTAGGTAAGGGAAAGATGTATCTACGTGTAGAATAGCAGAACTATATTATATAACTCACTGCTTTAACTATGTGAAATGGCCAAAGCTGAATAATGAGAAAACAATTTAATTAATCATTAAACAATTTACATAAAAGAGGCAGTTCGATGGTTGTTGAGAACTCCCCAAAGTTTTACATACAACTTGAGTAGCTAAATAGTTATATCTTACGGGATTGGAATAGTATACATTTAATAGATTGTAATAAGAAGTACATCTGGATGAGAAATGAAGCATTAGATGTGTAAGTGAAGTGTTTTATTCTAGAAGTTTTGCCACTTACATATGCGCTTATATATATATATATATATATATATATATAATATATATATATATATATATATATATAATATATATATATATATATATATATATATATAATATATATATATATATATATATATATATATATATATATTTCAGTATTATCATTCAGTTAAGTGATAACACTAAGCTTGGTTAAGTCTCATTTGCGAGATTCCGGCAACTGATATTGTAAAATATATTGCATGGCATAAAACAATAATTTAAGAGCATGAATAAGCTGTGTTGAACATTGTAAAACTAAGTGGGAGAACTAAAGTTTTGAACTAAATAACTAAGATGTATGAGACGTTAATCAATGGTTTAAATAGAGTATTCCAGCAAACTGGCTCATTTCTGCATGGTTTAAAGGGAAGATATAAACATAGTAAGCAGCTTAATTAATTGCAAAAAGAAAAAAATACAGTACAAAGGGTGTGCAAAGAGAAGCATAAAATATGTTTATTATCCTGCTTTTTCTTATTAATCTCTAAAATCCATAGATAAAACTAACGCGTAAGCAGATGATGTCAGGTGGTATAAAATACCAATGAGACAATTAACTGTAATGAGATATTTAATGTTTAAGTGGTAAAACTAGGTGCGTATTTTTATTTAAGAAGTAAATTTAACTCGCTTTGAACAGCATGACTGTACTGGAACATTTTGCAATAATTATTTTTATATTATGTTTATTATAGCTAATTGATAAATGTAGTATTCGCTTGCGTTACAGCGAGTTACTAAATATTAAAGTATTTATAATGCATGTTAAGTTACATTGGTACAGTTGCTTGAGTGTATGGTACAGTATGTTTATGTGTAGTCTACATGTGTGTGCTATACCGTATATGATATGAAAACTACTATTAACAAAGAACTTGTATCCTTGTGCAACGTCACATAAACTCTTTAGTTAGAACGATCAAGGACGACCCATCCATTACCAACGAGAGGCGTGACCTGACCACAAGAGCGGATTGACTAGCAAAGCTTTTTCTGTGAATATTATTACAGACTTGGGTGTGAATTATCATTTCCAAACTTCAGTTTGTTAGTAGGCCAATTTATTTTGAACACGGACAACTGGCGCCTAAGGCAGTGGTTATCTCTGCAAAACGCTAGCCAATTCACACTTCCCGAGTCAGGTCACTGATGGAGGTTAGGTCACACCTCACCTTGGTGACAGTTACTCGCTCCTTGCTCATTCCAGCTGAAGTATCCATGCGAGGTGGTACAGTGAAATTGGTTGTAAGAGTTTGTTAATATTAGTTGTACTATCATACACTTTCACGTTATTGTGAAATCGTCAGTGTATGAGTATACATGTGTATGATAGTGTACATGTGTATGATAGTGTACATGTGTATGATGGTGTACATATATGTTATAGTGTAAATGTGTATATTAGTGTGCATATGTATGTTTGTATTCATTTTAATATAATGTACATGTCTAGTGTTGCACTGCATGTTAGTTACAGTGTACATATGTATACTACACTGCACATATGTATAGTAGAGTACATTAGTGTGCACATGAGTGTGTATATGAGTGTGTGGTACAGCGTTGGCTCCAGATGTCACCGGTGAGAAAACTTTCCGGGGATCTAAGTTTAGGGTGTGTCGCTGGCATCGAGTAGCCTCGTTACCAAACTTTCTAAATTTCGACTTTGCCTAGACTGAGATTTTAAGTGTAATTCATCCTGCAGCCTCTCACACCTCAGTTTGTATCTATCATCCCGACGAGAGTACGAGTGGAGGCTCTTGAAGTATAGAGAACTCTGAAACCTCGCACTGAGGCTTTCATATTTCTGGTGTTTGCATACAGCTAGAGCTGAGTGCTGCTTCTGCTTCAGTGTTAATGTTCGGTGGTGCTGAGTGATCGACATTTCAAATGTTTTCTTACTTCCATTCGATATCCGCTTAATTTCATTGCTAACCAGTCTTTGTTGTTTACGATTTGAGTATCACAAAATGGACTGCTGGTTCAATTCCAGGCACTATTTCCGCGCACTGCTGGACACCGTCTCTGGTCAATTCCAAAAGTTTCCAGGAAGTTTCACGCGGAAAAGTATTTTCTGTTGAATTGGTATTATTCACAGTATACTACTTTTGTCGAGTTGTTTAGCGATCACTGATAAGACACAACACCGAGAAGGGACACCGGAGTTCCCTTCCACGAGGATGCTGAAGAGGGAATGAACTTGCCCATATGAGATTTTCTTCCTGCTACCACCCACTTTCCCACCCCCTTCCCCCTTTTGGTGGTCTTCCCTATACCCCTGCCACAGCCCCCTCCCCCAACCTATCATCCCCCCCTTCCACCCATGCCATAAACGCCTCGGGCACAATCTCCATGCCCGAGTAAACATGTAAAAAAAAACAATCATCGTTCATTGTTGAAGGTGTCATTCACCGAATGTTTAAGAATATATGAAAAGCTCAAAATATATTGTTGGTATTATGATGAAAACCAAACAGCATTAACTAAACGTTAAATTTAGAAAATTAATATTCTCAACGAAATCTGTGTAGAGGGTTGCAGCTGGTTGGGGTTCGCCCTGGGCTCCGCCACCTGCCCCTCACATTTCGGCTCTTTACCCCATCTCCCCACCTTGGCACCCCTTCACCCCCTCATTGGCACCCCATCTCCCCCTTTGGCACCATGCGCGCGCAATGCCCCACATTGCCCCGCCCACTTCTCTCCCTGAACCCCAATTTTGGTGTTCTTCTCCCACTGTTGTTGCTGCTCTGTCGTTCACTGTCAATAATTTCTCACTGCATCGCCCCACGCTCTTTTCAAGGATTGTTGGATTTACATAAAAGTTACCTCATTGACCGATTTCTATTGTGTTCGCATGTCCCTACCCACCACGGTGCCCATCCTGCTGTTAATATAATCATCTGTTTCCATACAGTTAGGAAAGGCACCAATTACTTTCAGTCATCTTACTTCCTGTATATGGACACTGTGATAATTAATTTTCGTTATTTACTTCTTTAAATGTGCATAAACTACAATTATTTTTAGCCAGCTTAATGTGCATCAAGAAAACTTTTGTGAATACACAAACACACACACTCGGGGCCAGGAGCTGTGAATAGACCCCTGCAACTACAACTAGGTGAGTACACGACCCATGCAATCACATATAGGTGAGTACACAGCACCAGCATGAAACCCCCACCTGAAAAAGCATGTTAAGAAACTAAGACAATACAGAAGTGTTCAACAAGGCTTGTTTCTGAGATAAAAGTCATTAACTAGGCCTAAGAAGAGGCTAACGGAACTGCTCCTCATAACACTGGATGACAGAAGAGCCGGGGGAAGGGGGACATGATAACATACAAAATACCGAGAGGAATTGATAAGGTGCCCTAAGTACACTATGGAGGAGGAGCTTGGACATGGGTGAAATTCCACAGTCACTTAAAACAACGGATATAGCCCCACTCCATAAAGGTGGCAGCAAAGCATTAGCTAAGAACTATAGACCAATAGCTCTGACGTCCCACATCATAAAAATCTTTGAAAGAGTGCTAAGAAGCAGGATTGCAAATCACCTGGATTCCCAAAATCTGCACAATCCAGGGCAACATGGGTTCAGGGCAGGTCGCTCCTGCCTCTCACAACTACTGGATCACTATGACATGGCCTTGGATGCACTGGAAGAAAATCAGAATGCAGATGTAATATACACAGACTTTGCAAAAGCATTTGACAAATGCGATCATGGCGTGATAGCCCATAAAATACGTGCTAAAGGAATAACTGGGAAAGTGGGGAGATGGATCTTCAACTTCCTAACAAATCGAACACAAAGAGTAGTGGTCAACAGAGTTAAATGGGAGGCTGCCATAGTGAAGAGCTCTGTTCCACAAGGCACAGTACTCGCCCCCATCTTATTCCTTATCCTCACATCAGACATAAACAGAGATATACACCACAGCACCGTATCATCCTTTGCGGATGATACTAGGATCTGCATGAGGCTGTCATCTGCTGAGGACGCGGTTAACCTCCAAGAAGATATAAACAAAGTTTTCCAGTGGGCAACGGTAAACAATATGATGTTCAATGAGGACAAATTCCAACTACTCCGTTATGGAAAACTGGAGGAATAATAACTAGAACAGAGTATACTACTGACTCCGGCCACACAATAGAGCGGAAAAATAATGTAAGGGACCTGGGAGTAGTAATGTCTGAGGATCTCACTTTCAAGGATCACAACAGTGCCACGATCGCACGTGCAAAGAAAATGATAGGATGGATAATGAGAACTTTCAAAAAGAGAGATGCCAAGCCCATGATGATCCTTTTCAAATCACTTGTTCTCTCTAGGCTGGAATACTGCTGTACATTAACATCTCCATACAAAGCAGGTGAAATCGCAGATCTAGAGAGTGTACAGAGATCCTTTACTGCACGTATAAGTTCTGTCAAGCACCTTAACTACTGGGAACGCTTGGAAGCACTTGACTTGTACTCGTTGGAACGCAGGAGGGAGAGATATATCATAATCTACACTTGGAAAATCTTGGAAGGAATGGTCCCAAATCTGCACACAGAAATAACTCCCTACGAAAGTAAAAGACTGGGCAGGCGATGCAAAATGCCGCCAATAAAAAGTAGGGGCGCCATTGGTACACTAAGAGAAAACACCGTAAGTGTCCGGGGCCCAAAACTGTTCAACAGCCTCCCATCAAGCATTAGGGGAATTGCCAATAAACCCCTGGCTGCCTTCAAGAGAGAGCTGGACAGATACCTAAAGTCAGTGCCGGATCAGCCGGGCTGTGGCTCGTACGTCGGACTGCGTGCGGCCAGCAGTAACAGCCTAGTTGATCAGGCCCTGATCCATCGGGAGGCCTGGTCATGGACCGGGCCGCGGGGGCGTTGATCCCCGGAATAACCTCCAGGTAACCTCCAGGTAGGTAGAAGCGGACAGGCTGTTGAGGCGAGAAATGGGAACTCTGGGACCCGTTGCAGAGAAGAGCCACAGAAGAGTTAAAAAAATATTTCTTCAGTCACAGAGTGGTCGGAAAGTGGAATGATCTTGGTGAGGATGTGGCGGGGGCAGAGGTCCATACAAAGTTTTAAGAGCAGGTACGACCAGGCTAAGAGGAAGTAAATCAGAAGAGTGGCAAGTTAAGAGGCAGGGTCAGGATTTAAGAATCCATCCTACAACCACACACTGTATATATGATTTCGAGATAATGAACGTCTGGTACACTGCTGGACCTGCTACCTGTGAGGGATTTTATTTTATGTATATATATATATATATAATATATATATATATATATATATATATATATATATATATATATATATATAATATGCAAAACAACCACTGTGAAAGAGTAGTGAAATTCCAAGCGCTTTCGTGACTACTCACATTGTCAAATAACTATGAAAGTAATACATCAAAGGAAGGCAATTAAAGGGCTTAGACCACACCTCACAGTCAACTCCCACAACAAAGAAACGCCTGACGCGCGACAATACCGGACTCATAAGAAAAGAGGAACACTGCAGTAGGTCCGCTGGTCCAACTAGACAGGTCCTCACGACATCCCACTAACAAATTATTCTACCCAAGAAATAAGCTTTATTATTTGTCCAATGTATTATTAAACTCTAACCAAATTTTATTAATTATAAATGAATCTAATTTATATAAACCTAAGGAAATATTCATTTTATTTTCAAAACTGCTTTTTATGAAACAAGATTCAATTATATTTCTGTCAACCATGGACTTGCTTGATACAACTTTCTCAACTTTTTGAAAATCAATTGGATGGTTAAAATCTCTCACATGAATAAATAGAGCATTGGAATCTTGTCCAGTTCTAATGCTATATTTATGTTGTTTTAATCTAAGTTCGAGATTTTTACCAGTTTGACGGTAATAAATTTTGGAATTTCTCTATTCTTTCACAGTGGTTGTTTTGCATATTCTGAAATCACCTGTTTACTGTGATCTTTTTGCATATATATATATATATATATATATATATATATATATATATATATATATATATATATATATATATATATATATATATATATATATATATATATATATATATAGGGAGGTACCACCTCTAGAACTGTCATAGGGACCCTCATCCTCAGAGAAAAGAATAAACTTGCTACAGGGAAAACTCAAGGTTTTCCCTGAAGCTGCTTGAGAATTTTCTCCTACCACCCCATATATTTCAAGTATGTTTTATTTAAAGACAAAAATACATTGGCCAAACATTCACAAAAATACAACAGAAAGTAAAACAACATAGGTAACTCAGAGCTACATCTCGAATACTTCGTCCAGCTCCCCTGCAGTGGGCCACGTGCCCAGAATGCTGCAGGCATTTCCTCTCTGGATCGCAACACTGAGTCTCTGAAAGAGAAAGCTGGTCGCCCTGTGGTCCTTGATTTCTATGATGAGCTTTTCACCCAGCTCTTTGAGGAACTTTAGAGCACACTTGCCCCATGCTCCAAGGGTCTCCGACCCTATTGGAATGAAGTTATAGCAAGGGGAAAGGTCTTCATATTTTCGGATCTTCTGGGTCTCCCTGTGGCTGGCAGCTCCAACCCCTTCCACTACGGAGTATGGCAAGTAGGTGTCTGCCAATGTGGCAGCACAGGTGTAGTCCCAGGCAATCTGCTTTCCATCCTTCCAGGGTAGCATAGTGGCTCCATCAGGACGCTTTTGACTTCCATCAGACCTCTGTACTTGGGGTTCCCGTTGAGCTGGGCAACGGGCTGTGGCGAGGCTTCTCTTTATGATGTCATTGAACTCCTCATGTCTGGCATACTTCCCTTCTGCTGTGTGACACACAAGACCATGAAGTCTGAATTGATCAGCTGCCGCCCTGCCGCAAATACACCTATGTTCGGTGAGGATGGGGGCGGCTAGGCGAAGAGCAACACCAATCGCACCTTTCAAGGCAGGTGAAATTGCTGACCTAGAAAATGTACAGAGAACCTTCACGGCGCGCATAACGGAGATAAAACACCTCAATTACTGGGAGCGCTTGAGGTTCCTAAACCTGTATTCCCTGGAACGCAGGCGGGAGAGATACATGATTATATACACCTGGAAAATCCTAGAGGGACTAATACCGAACTTGCACACGAAAATCACTCACTACGAAAGCAAAAGACTTGGCAGACGATGCAACATCCCCCCAATGA